CACTGACTTCTTATATATTATACATTAAATTAATTAGTGGCCGCTATGGCCCCTTTACATTTGTAAGTAAGTTCGGAAGCGGCCGCGTTATTATCCGATGATTGTACGTTCTTCCGAACCACATAAGTATACTAATCTTTATTTGATTTTTTCAAGATTGATCACCTGCTTCTAAAATCTTGATGTTGAAGTCAGAAATAAATGTTGTAAGAGAAGTGTTTCTCTATTAAGTACTCTATAATTAATCTAACACTTTCTGTTGCATGACAGTGTCTCAGAACAGAATATCAAGATATTTGATAATATTATCAGATATTTGCAATGCTGATTTACATACTTTTATTTATAAATGAAACTTCTGTTTTATATAATTCTTCAATCATTTATTGATATATCAATCTTGATTGATTAATAAACTGATGACATCTCTATCTATACTCAGTTTTATAAGCATTTTCATTCTTTATAATGAGTAGAGAGTAAGATCAGAAGTATTAAAATATACAGAAGTATTTAAGCATTCTTTCAACACTTTTATATTTAATTCTGTAGATATTGAAATTGCATGAGTTTCTTATTATAATAATTGTTTAATCTCTTCATATTAGCATTGTTGAGTTGCATGCATATCAGCTATTTATTATTATTGTAATTTCAACATTGCTCAGAGCTACTGTGATATCACATCTATACTCACATTCAAGAGTTTCATATTATTGTTAGACATGATTATATTAATTATCAGATGTGTAATTATATGAATATCTCATATATCTAAGATTAGAACTCTCAGGTCTTTTACTGATATTCTCTTTATAAGATCTTATTACAGAGTTAGAATAACTGATAAGCAAGCTTCTATCTGAGAACTCAGTGTTTACTTAACTGTTTAACTGTTTCTCTATTTCTTACACATTGTTACATGTTCAGATATCTCAGTGAATAATCATTTCTAATAAGAAGATAATGAATATTTTTCTAGTGTAAGAGACCTACACTGAATAGATTGATATTATATTAATAGGTCTTATATAACAAAGAGAAAAACATTAAAGAAGAAAAAGAAAGAGAAAGTGCAAGAATCAGTGATCAAAGTGAATATTTATACATATATGTGATAATGTATACAGTGAAGCTTCAGAGCGGAAGAATCTATATGCATTTATAGCAGCTGAGAATCAGCAATTGAGAATGACTGAGAATCGGAGTGTACGTGTTTGAGAATGAAGCAGTTGAAATCTGTGAAGTGTAACGGAATATAATTGATCAGGCGCAGCCTGCCACACCTGTATCTAATCTGTTCAAACTCTCATTTTTTAAGTTATCTGAGTAAACCAGAATACAGTCTTTTATATTGATTATAGAGATCTTCTTCAAATACTGTTTATATTCTCTCTCTTTAGAGAGTTCACTTCTTTATAAGTTTATAAGAGATTTTAGCTTTTCTCTTCAGAGAGATATCTTCTCATAATCAATTTTCTCAATATTTAATGAAGAAAATTGATTTTTAATCAGTGAATATAGTCTGTACAGTTAAGAGAGCATTTTCTTTGAAGAATTATTCTTATTTCAATTAAGAAATCTATTTCAATTCAGTTCATTTTCTAAAGTTCTTAAATTAATATATAGATATTGTTAGAAACACACTCTCTCTATTATCTGAATGAAAACACTTCATGAATAAATAAGAATATTCACAGTTTATAAGAATGAAAGCTATTATAGAAAAAGAGAAAAAAAGATAAGATTCTGCAGACAGATCAGAGATATTTATACTACTTTAAAGAGATTTATTTACACTATATATAATTCTGTGAAACATTCAGATCACTATAGTAAATAAAGAATGATTATAAATTACAGATCTGAATCTTTCTATATAACTATAAAAAGTGATTATAGACTATAAATATCTTAATTCTATAATTTTACAGAGTTAATAAAAGAATGAAAAATTTCTTACAACTCTACAGTATTAAAGAATGATGATTTATAAGAATAAGTAAAAGATTAACTTATAAATACTTCTCTTCAATAAGAATAATTTTATAGAAAGTAATTTATCTGTGAGATAAATCTATATAACAGTCACATATGAATTTTATAAAAAAATAATTGAAGATTAACTAAAACTTCTTAAATTAAAAGATATGAAATAAATCTGTGTAATAATTATATAAGAATTTTATGAAAATAAGTAAGAGTTAACTGAAACTCTTCTATATAAAAGATATAAGATGAATATATATAATAGTTAGAGAAAGATTTATAAACTATAAAAAAATCTTATAAAATAAGAAACTAAGTAACAGACTCTTTTCTCTTAATAATAATAAGAAATTTTTCCTCACTGAGATTTTTTATAAATATAAAGAGTTTTTAATAAGTATTACTACAGTACTGAATCTGATTCTATGAAATCACTTAGTGAAAGACTTTATAAATGAAGTCTTAGAGAGAAAGAAGTATATAAGAAATCTCACTTCTTATAGATTTTTTATCTCTATTTCTATCTTTTATATAATTAATAGAGTTAGTAGCTCTTGACTATATATAACTATATAGACTGAAGTTTATAACTACTATTTATAACTCAGCTTAAATACTATTATATATTTAATCTCTATATTTTATCTTTCTACTATGAATACTTTTAGTAGTTAATAGTACATATCATGTCAAGCTGCAAATATCTGAATAATCACCTGCAAGTACTTATTCTTACGTCAACTTATACAGATACTGAATTTTATTATTTTTATATATTAAAAAGTTAGTAGTTAATAGTTATAATATTATTAATCTTTTTAAATATCTGATTAAAATTAGAGTTATAGAGTGTTTTCAGAATCTATAGTTTCTCTTTATTAAAAAATATTAACAGTGCTTATAATATTAACACAGATAATAACTGAGATTTAAAAAGCAGAGATTTCTGAAGAAATTTTTGAAAATGTAACTATATTAATAAGAGTTTTATAAAAAAAGAATAAGTAAATACAAGTCTTGATACAGATAATAACAACATTATAAAAATAGAAAAAAGTATAAGTTATAAAGAAGTTAAACAGTGATAAAATTTATTAAGAATATTTACATTCTGCAGAAAATAAAAAATTATAGTAGTAAGATTTACTGTTATCTTCAATAATTTTTCTTAAAGCTTTATTATCTGTTTAATTTACAGTTAGAGCACGCTGACTTTTCATTTATGAAAAAGAGAAACATTCAGCTGTTTATATAGACAATTTAAAAATGCAAGATAAAACTATAAAATTTTCAGTCTATCTTACTCAAACAATCTTCACAAATCTAGCTGGGAAAAAGAATGCCTTGCCTGATAATCAGCTAAAATCAGCTGTAACTGCAAGCAGGACTTGCACAGCTGCATAATGCAGTTCAGCATCATGAGACACATAGGCAATGTAACTCTCTATTTATCATCACTCTGCTCTTGACCTCTTCTCTTTCCCTTCTTCATCTGCCACCAGTAGAAGTTTACCACTAGCAAGGCTGCACTGTTTGACCAATGTTGCATGAAGACTAAGAATATAGTGGAGACACTTGAAACCCAGAGTCTGGCATCCTTTTTCCAGTGGGAGTCCAACTGACACCCGCCAGGGTCTCAGATTGCACAGAATCTGCCTAAAAAAACGCATTCACTCGTGGTTGCCCGGTTTAGCCAGCGCCATCGCCCAGCTCGGAGACCACCGGGGATGACCGCAAGACTACCGAGATTGCCCCGTGGGAGAAATGTCAGCTGGACCATGCCCCCTTTCGAATTTTCCCAGAATGGATCCAGTCTTGTGAGACATCCAATACGATCAACAGTTCCCAAGTCAAATGCATTGGGGGCCCTGCGCCGCCGCGATTGAAAGTCCCGCAGATAACGAGATGAGGCAATTTTGCTATTGGTCCAAGGGAACAACCAAAAAATTGTTGGCCCCAGCACGGCTCTCAACGAGAATGGTCCAGCCGCCCAGCTGGAATATCGGACTCCAGGTGTTGGAATATCCCACCGCAAAAGGCGACGCAAGAGACCTGAATCAAGCGCGTATCGAGCTAAGAGGTAGGAAAAAGAAACAAAGGAAGGAAAAATTAAGATAGAGGAAGTGACCGTGGCCCCGTCCCTAGAGTTGAATAAGAAAGAGGGACGCAATATACCATGCCAGGATAGAGGGAGAGGAGTTGCGCAGTGCAGGCTGCAGGAAGGAAATAGAGATGTAACACTATGCTTGTCCTTTGTTGGGGCGCAGGTAAAGATACAAGAGACACGGATAGAACGTCAAAAGTTGAGAAGTACGGGAGAGGAGAAAGTGGAAAGGAAAAAGGAATTGCGTGCGAGATGGGAGGTCGAGGTGGTGTTTATATAGATCAACGGCGATGGTGTCGACATTTTGATGGGGTCGCCGAGCAGGTCACGCCAAACCTAAAGTAGACACGCTACGCCTAAAGGAGCAGCGCTAGACCGAACACGGCGAGAGGCCACGCCCGAAGAGGCATGGCAGCGCGGCGACGCGGACCCACTCGCTAGCTGGGAGTTTATTGTATTTTATTTTATAATTGAATCTATATTTTAATCAATTTTAACTATATTATAATAATTTTGAATTATATTATAATATAAGTCTTGATATTTTATAGATTACAAATTAAAAAGTAAAAATAATGAATATTCATTGAGATATTAACATTTAAAGTTGATTGTAATTGATTTACAATGGTGAGCGTTGGGTGGAAACGACGTTATTGTACCTTGGGATCAGGACTAACTTTTCCACAAGTTTCCAATCATGCGGTCACACGGACACCGGCTGGTCTACTAGGTACCTAGGTAACTTCCGAGTGAATTTAACTATCACATGATTCTATAATGTATCCAAACTATGAAGATCTAAACTACTTTCAGACTAGCGTATTCAGATCACATGACAATGGATGCGAACCTTGGAATTTATGGTTCAGCAACTGGAACCAAGGGCGGAGCTGCGGGATAGAATGCAAGGTGGAAGGAAGCTTTCCTGGCCCGTTGGTGGCCCGCAGGTAGATTTGGGGGCGAGCTGTCCTCCGTAATAGATAAATATGGAAAACATTCGCATCACGAAACTCGCCTGTTGTGCTCCAGCCACGACTCCACAAGACCGCTCTAATTGTGCCACCAGAATCTATGCTTGTGTTGGTCGCATTGAGCTATTTTACCTCTTTAATTCACTTTCCTCAAAAATATAAAAAGACTTGCGCGGCTTCATCTCTCCTGTTGGATGTGATCGTTCCTCCAGTCCATTTCTAATCCAGTCGCGTTCCCAACACCTTTCTCTCAGGTCCAGAGCTCATTGATTTTTTTGCCGTTGAATACTACTTCTGTGCCCGATCCTAGATTGAGAAAATGAAGGAGATCATCTCGAGTTCCCCTCCTTGCCTTTCTGACCAGAAAGGGTACAATCTTCAGCGCATTTCGAAGGACGTTATCCCGTCGTGGGGCCGGCGCAGCGATGTCCCTCCACTTCGAAGTGCATTGTCTCTTGCGATAATGCTGGCATGTCCTGCTGCCATTGTCTTCTGGTACGTGACACTACAGCATTTCGACGGCTCCCTATTGTCGGCCACGGTGGCCCTCCGAAACGAAGGGTTCATTTATTTTTACCGCGAATACTGTCCGATCCCCAATTTGCCAACTACTCTTGTCTACGGAGCTTGGGTCCTCTTTCAAGCGCTGCTCTACAGCTTTCTCCCGGGATCTACGCATGAAGGACAGCCTACTCCTGCTGGAAACATTCTCAAGTACAAAATCAACGGGTTGTTGGCTGCCGTTGTAACTACGTTGCTATTTGGCGCGATTAGCCTGTGGGGTGGTACTTCTGCTTCATCATTTGTCGCCGCCAATTGGGGCGCGTTTCTCGCCATATTTAATATCTACGGATTGTTTCTCACCCTGGCTTTCTACATTAAAGCCCACATCTCGCCGTCCCATCCGGAGGACAGGAAGTTCAGCGGTTAGAACATTCATCTTTTTTGACTACGTTAGGGATTGCCTGGCTTACATTTCCATAGGATCTCCGTTGTATGATATATATATGGGGATTGAGCTGAATCCGCGACTGGGCCAATCATGGGATATGAAGCTTTTTCACAACGGCCGTCCTGGTATCATTGGCTGGATATTGATGTGAGATATGCAAAATATTTTCTGGCTATATATTCAATGAGCTAACAACATTATTAGTGACATGTCCTTCACTGCTCTCCAATTTTGTCGACACGGATACATTACGAACTCAATTCTTATTGCGGATATCCTTCACCTGACTTATATTATGGACTTCTTTTTCAATGAGGACTGGTATGTTTTCCATGAGGGAGAGAGTTTCCCTATACCCGCTAAAAACAGAAACGCATCTAGGTATCTGAAAACCATAGATATGGCCCATGACCATGTCGGATTTTATCTGGCTTGGGGCTCTGCAGCATGGCTTCCTACGATCTACACCTTACAACCCCAATTCTTAGCAATTAACCCAGTTTCTCTCTCCCCGATTGCTGCAGCCACGATTTTGACAGCTGGGTTTGGTGGATATGTCCTATTTCGGTCCGCAAATCACCAAAAACACCTCGTGCGTGATACCCAAGGCAAATGTTTGATATGGGGGAAAGCGCCAGAGTATATCCAAGGCGAGTATAAAACCGCAGATGGATCGAGGCACAAATCTATTATTCTATGCTCTGGTACGTTCAAGCATCCTCCCAGTGCTTCCACTTGTAATAATTGTGAATTTTATCACTGACACGGGCCATTTGCGCACTGCTTTTTCGTGACAGGATGGTGGGGAGTTGTCCGTCATGCGAACTACCTGGGAGATCTAATCTTGTCCTACGCAATGTGTGCTACCTGCGGGTTCACTCACCTGCTCCCTTGGACTTACGCCATATTCATGACAACGATTCTCGTCCACCGATGCTATCGAGATGAGGAGCGATGCGCCAAGAAGTACGGGAAGACCTGGGGTGAATACTGCGGGAAAGTCAGATGGAGAATCATCCCTGGCGTCTTTTAAGAGCTATCCAGTCGCCGAATATTTTCTTTCGTTTGCTTCCTTTTCAACTCAAGCCGGAATAATAGCGCGATTCGAACTTATTTTATTAGTAGACTCAGATCTACCCTGTCGTTCCTAAGCGACTTTGAAGGGATATCGGCTGTTGGAAAGAGTAAGGGCCGCCTGAAAGACTATGCATGAGCGAGACAAGGTGTGGAAAACGAAATTAATAACTAATGTATCAGAAACCTCGATGATCAAACCTGGTCATGAGATCCATAGATACTTGAAACTATGTAAGAAACTAGACAGAAATCAGAAACAGATGAAACAGCTAATTGTGCCATGACAACTGACAACAGAGTAAAATACATACCTGAAATGGAACACTTCTCTACTTCATATCTCTATCTCTATGGTGTTTTCGTGTAACTGCAGCAAAGGTCATCGGTCAGCCAACATGTAGCCGACTACAAGTCCGAGGCCTATGAGGAGAGCACTTGCCAGCGGAAGCACGCCTGCAGAGTAATCGAATCGCAATGTCTCTCCCGACTGTGTTTATCGGCGAGAGGCAGTCATGAGATCACGTAATTGCGAAATTGCATTTCCGCAGAGGGTGAAGTTGCTGATCACTATTGATTGTAGTGATAGGATATATATATGGCAATGTTTGAAGTGACAGCAGACTTTAAAGCCCAGTCAAACTTCGCGCACAAGGTTATTATTATCGCTCATAGTCACAGCCACAAACATCGACAATATCATGCCGCACCTTGCGAAGCACATAACTTGAATGTCAGGTTCCCGGATCTCCTCTGTTGTAGATTTCAAGGGGGGGGTGAGGTGTCGGATCCTAGGTCGTCTGGCCGATGTATTGTTCAACAGACAGACTGGGATCCTGAAGCTCTCATGTTAGCGAAGTGGTGTCTTCCATCCATTGCATTGTGGTCAGCGCTATACTCCGCTCGATAATGATATTGGGACTCGCTGTTCCATTTTAAAATGCCATATTCTCAGAGGTTCCAACTTGAAGGATGAACTGGGTTGTTGTAATTGGCGCCAAACTAGCGCGTCTACAACCAACAAGCAAGCGCGCTTATTTAACCAGGTTCAGCCAGGATTCTACTTTACGGTGGCTGAATTTAGAGGTACTGTTGTAATTCAAATCGTTTAAATATATCATATGCAGTTTTTATGAAGACTCTTTGAAATTTATGTATCTGAAATGCTAATTGGTCAAGCAAGGAATTGAGATTTCATGGTTTTCGGCGGCTGGGTCGGATAACTTTAATCTCGGCTTCAATTTTTTCAATAATAAAGCGCTTCTCAACCAACAATATTCCGTATCTCATACCAACATTTGTTATGCCTGCACTTTTTTTTATAATTTCCCCTTAAAGCCACACAAGCACATGTGTTTCACCTGTGTTGAACTCCAGAGCTTGTCCCCAATGCCCTCGCGGGTCTTACCTGCGCAGGAGGGCAGAGAGCTCAGTACATCGGATGGGCACGGCGATAGCCGCCGGAACCTGCAGGCTACGGAGCCTGGGGCCAATGCAGCTGTGGAGGAACGTGGTGGGATCCGGTCGGTCCGTGTTGTCTGGGCTGGCTTCCTCTCGAGCGAGGCTTCGACCCCCGTGCGCATATCCAGTTACACGCGTGAGGAGCACAACGTCGAAAAGGTCGTTCCACTCGAGCCCTCCCTCTCTATCCGAACGTCGCATATCGTATCGCATTGCCGCGTCCGCCTCCGGGAAAGGTCAAAAACTCTCTCCTGCGAAAAATGTCATTAGCTTTAACCCGGAGGAGCAAGCCGCTCTTGGCTTGCAGACCGGGACAACTGCTTTGGCTCGGAAAATGTCCCGGTTTGATAGTGGAGAGGATGCCTTCTTTGTGAGCAAGGTGAATGATGAACCCAGCGCTGTCGCTTTTGGCGTGGCAGATGGTGTAGGAGGTTGGTCCGAATCTGGAGTGGACCCGGCAGATTTCTCTCATGCTCTTTGCAGCAACATGGCCCAAGCCGCGTTGGAGTGGAATTCAAAATTAGAAAAAGTGAGGCCTAGGGCTCTAATGCAGGCCGGTTATGAGAGATGCAAAGCAGATCAGTCTATTTTTGCGGGTGGAAGTACCGCTAGCATCGGCATTGCCCATAATGATGGCAGGGTGGAACTTGCGAAGTATGTATACATCCTCCTGTTCTTTACATGACGAAAACTTAAGGGCTTGCAATACTAACAACGACAATTTCGTTCAGTCTCGGAGATTCAGGGTCAATTCTTTGCCGACTTGCAGCCATTCATCATTACTCCGTTCCTCAAACGCACGATTTCAATACTCCGTACCAGCTCACCTTGGTCCCACCAATCATGCGAATCCAATCGTCAATATTCGGGGGTCGAGTCTTCGAGGACCTCCCCCACCACGCGAGCGTAACCAATTTGAAAATGCAACATGGTGACGTGCTCATTCTTGCCACCGACGGGGTCCTAGACAACCTTTTCAACCAAGACATTTTAAATAGCATAACAGACCAAATGATAACCGCTGGCGCTTGGAATGTTACTTCGGAGTCGGGGATTCGCGTTGCCGCTGATCTCGATAAATTCACTCATGAAGGCGGCCTTATCCCAGAGCCCAGGGTCTCGTCCACCTTGGCGAACGATCCCCAATCTCAGCAACCAAGATCTAACGCTCAAACACGGCACCTTCCCTTACAAAGCCTCCTCGCTCTTACAGTCGTTCGGCAGGCCAAAGTTGCCAGCATGGATCGTCACAGGGACGGACCCTTTGCGAAACAGGCCCAGAGATATTATCCATGGGATAGATGGAGAGGTGGTAAAATCGATGATATCTGCGTAATTGTCGTTGTTGCGGTGGAGGAAGGGAGAGCAGAATCATGACAAAAATTCCAACTCGACCTCCATGCCGGCGCGGAGAGTAAAATTTGAAAAGAGGACGGTTCATGAAGTGTAGATTTGAGACGCCCCGTTGGTCGCCATATCCATACAGCAACGGAGCCAGATTGAAGAGAAAAAGCAAAAGGACACCAATCAATCTTCAGGACGATTTCCGTTTTCATTCCCCGAATACTTTCAAAAGTCTTTGTCAACAGAACTGTTTTGGCACGTACAATAAATAACGGCGAAAAAAAGGAGGTGCCAACTCATATGCTCCGGATTTCCAGCCTAACAACCCCATATCTATGCATGCTTCGGCATCCTCGCACTTGTTGAATCAATTTTGGATGCCACTCACAAACCAATATTTTCTACTGCTACATGCGGCTATGCCTGATTATATATCCCCTATAGACGTGTACATAAGCGACATATTCTGTACATATTCACATGTTTTGAATGTCAAATGACCATAGCAGACTGCTATGAGAGGTTATTAACTAGATTTCTTTAATTACGTATTCTGTTAGATTATTAACGGTCTATCTTGTTATAGTTAGCAGTTATATAGCGATACTATAAATTTTCTGTGAGAGCTTCAGATCTCAGGTTTGAATATAGTAGTAGCCCCCCATTAATTTTCAGTTGTAGTAGTTGTAGTTGTAGAGATATCTTGAATATCTATAAATCTCGTAATATAATGATAAAGTAAAAAACGATCTAGATTGGCTTGATTGATTGATTTGATTTGATTATATCATATACCGATCCAGCCCCCCCGGGGCAAGGATTTGAACTAACGGTTTTTCTCTCAAATACTGGTGAATTATTTAAGCGCACCAGAGCGCTGTGTACTGCACAAGCCGTAATTCTGCCTGCCTACAAATTTTTTTCTGGCTTCCCCTGAACGAACGTATTATAACACGAATGTAACACTGTTATTATGGGAATCTCGTCATTTATATATCTAATCTACTGAGGGCTGAGCTGGCAACCTGCTAGAGCAATGTGGGAAGCCAATTCCAGGAGCCATGTATTCATGTGGTTTTGCATACCCAGTAACCTTGGAATAGGAGGGAGGTGTCATAGGTTTATAATCGCGATCAGAATCTCGCAATCTTCCATTGTTCCTGCTTAATATTCGTCTCGTCTGATCCTTGATTTTAGGGAAAATACGATTGCAAAAGAGCCTTGTACTGTCCCTTTTACAGCATGGCCAATGGCATCTGAAGTTATGGCGCCCTAGATATAGCCATACTTCAGAAGGTCAAGTGCACTAGGCCGTAGTTCTAGAACAGGATTGAGTGCGACGTGCGCTGTCTCGATATCCTTTTCCGGAATATTCTTGTCAAAGAGTTTTACTACCCAGTGATCATGCTCGGTCCTTGTTTCATCCTTTGGCGGCAGCAATTGCCGCGTAACAGGATTCGAGTTATAATACTCAATCGCGTGAAGGCTGAACTCTTGTGCCATGGCCGCCTAGATAACATTCTCCTTGTCTGTCAATGTTCCCTCGACCTCCAAAGAGTCAAACATCCCGGGTTTCTTGAAATTGATGTGGGCTTGAAGCAGGTGCAGGTACTGTGTAAGATGTGTTAAGCATCATCTACTGCAAGAGGTGTCTTGAGTATGAAAGAAGTTACTATGCCCCAGGGCCATATATCTGTTGCAGTTGTTCAGGGTTTGTTGAAGTACATCTCAGGACTATGGTAAGTGATTGCGGATATGGATGGGCCTTGAGAGGGCGGCCAAGCTGGTCCTTAGTTGGCCATTCGCAGCAGCGAGCTGGACAGCCATGTAGCGACAACATACCCGTCCCAAGATTAGCAATCTTTGTTACCAAACGTTCACCGGAGCCTGGGGACTTGTTATCGAACCCATTGACTAGGACGTTCTCCATCTTCAAGTCTGGCACAGAGTGTCTATTCAATGTTAAGTCCCGTTCTCGGCAACAAACCTGTATAAACGATATTCTTGTGGTGTATAGTCCCAGTCCAATTGCGATAGATCTTGCGCTCCACAACGATTTCTCGAACGCCTCGAGAACCATGGTCTGAGGCTCCACATCAGAAGGAGGCGGGACAACATCGACCATCCGACGGATGTAGCCAGATTTATACAACAGCTCCTACATTTCCATCTCCCTACGGGGGCGTCTTCATCGTCCGGCTGCTTGAGGACAAACTGGCGCATTGGGTCGTTCTCCTTTGAGCGCGCTCCAGACATTGCACCGTTTACCTTCGCGCTGAATGAGCGGATCAAGCAAAACATAGGTATGGCAGCGTTTACCAACCAGCTTCGAGCCTCGGGTTAACACACAGAGAGGGGACGACATGATATCGTAAACGTCTTGTAGATGAGTTTAAGCGATTGAGCTATCACGCACTGTTTCTCCTTTCGTGACAGGAGAACGAATTCGCAGAGCCGAGCATTACAGAGGGAGCTCCATCTTGCGCAGTAATTACTCGGAAGGGCCTTGACCAATTTGGTTGCGATGAGGTCGCTCGCTCAAGACCAGATTAGACATAGCCTAGGTGCCTAGGTAGGTGAGGTGGTGTGTGCATATTTAAGGCTCGTCCCGCAGGTCAGCTCACGCCCCATTATTCTCACAGGTTGCAAGCATCCCGACTGGCTTCATTTTTTTCTCCTCTCACTGTCACTCTGTGCCCTAATTCGATAAAAAATAGGAGCCGGCGGCTATGCGGGTCTATTTTTTTGTTTGAGGCAAAGTAGTCGACACCCCAGCAAGCAGATCATGGCACGGATGTCAATTGTTAGCCGCCTGTCCCCTTGATACTACTCTACTGCAGGACGGGATCCTTAACGCAAATCCGACACAAAAACCCTTGACGGAGATGCCTACCACCAGTCGCTTTCTACTCGCATTGTATCAATCACAAATTGTCTCGAGTAGCCGCCTGAATTTTAGTTTTTGAGGCGTTCTGACTCTTTGGTTGCCAGGGGCATCAAACAGTCATGCGCCTGGCTCACAGCCTGGCGGGCATCATGGGGGGGGAGAGCTCAGCTATATATACTCGATCAAATACCCAGTCTTGTTCAGTTTCTCATTCTCCCCTTCAATAAAATCGGTGCACTGTGTACTGACGCTGCCAATTCCCCCTTAATTTGCTTTCCATTCAATCTTCTATTCTCGAGCCTTGCTCTTTCAACCTTCATTGAAACTATCCGTATTTCCTGACGGTCACTACGGCCAATAAGGACACTGGACTTCGCGTTTTGCGGAAACTGAAATCGTGGGATCCCCTGTACCTTCATATGGAGCAAGGAGGCGGAGCCTGGCATCGTCCCGGCGTTTTCGATGAGTCGTACTTCAGCGAAGGTGTTGGAAAACGTATTGATGACGAGTTCCAGAAGCACAGTACTCAAGTCGAAGAGAAATACGGGAGCTCTATTGGGATGGCTATCATTGAGTAAGGATTCCGAGACAGGACGCAACAGCTTCATGGTCACTTTCGTCAGGGACGACTTCCACGAGAGCGGAAATGATAAGGAGAGCCCTCTGGGGTCACCTACCAAGTCAAGGATGGCAAACATTTAACCCGGCGCCATGTCGCTGGGAGGCCGGAGGAGCAGAAAGAGGTAAGAAAAGAGGTGAGAGATTATTTGCTTGGTCTCATGATTCCGTACTGATGATATTGCAGAGTGATAAGAAGTAGCGAAGCTTGTACCGCCGAGGATATCAAGGCGTGCCTCTCTCAGTAAGCCAGCTCGACCGTCAAGATGGGACATAAGTGGGATTGCCTTGTTTTTTGTCTCTCTGCTATCTCCCTGCCACAAGGGGTCCAATTGAAAATCAAAAAAAAGGTACGTTATAGCATACCGCGGAACGCCCATTGAAATAAATGAGCCCAAGGAATTAATATCAAATGGACTATGGACGCATAATAGCAGGAAAGTATATAAGTAGGCTGGGTAGGTTTGGTAGCCAACTTGACAGGGGGAAAGACTGTCCGACTGTGCGAGAACGAATCCACAGACACAATATATAAATTTATACTAAAGGTTTAAAAGGACCAAAAGGACCAAAAGAAAAAGAAAAAGAAAAAGAAAAAAGTCAAGAAGGAAAATTATTCAAATAGGCTGCTTTCGGCCAAAGCCGACATGGCTTCTGAAAATATTACAATGAATCTCACCGACAACGACTTCAGTTGAGAATTTTAGACCTGCTCAGTTCGGAATTCAGAGTGGAGTTCCTCCCTTCTTTGCACCGGGGAACGTATCCAGCAACACATCCCAAATAGGCTTGCCGCCCTTGGTTAGATCAGCCAGCGCAGGGCAGTCGAGATCAAGGAGGGGAACATTGAGGGTCTCGGTTAGGAGCTTTAGAGGGGCTTCGAGTGTGGTGATGGTGCTAGATAGAGAGTTTGGAGCGAAGGCTTTGACGATCTGAAGCAGGAAGCAGATGAGATTGTTGCCCTCGAAAACGTGGCCGATGTTGGCGATGCCTGTTGTGAGATTTCCCAGGTCAAGGCCGGCAAAAGAGTCGATTTTACCCAGGTTACCGCCAATGCTGCAACGGGAAGATATTTGTTAGTATATGAGCTCCCTGTAAACCCTTACTTAGGTATGTTCATACGCCCCTGGAATGGAAGCCAAGGGTGGTTCAAAAAACTCACCTTGCCAATTCGGGATATTTAAGTACCCAGTCAATGATATCAAGATTGAACTGGATTAAACCGAAGTCAACTGGCGTGCGATACCAGTTTTCTGGAATCTTTTCCCAGCCTTCCTTGTACTCGAGACAGTCCTCTTCGCCATAAATACCGTAAAAGCTCTTGATAATGTTTTTTGCTGTGATCAACCTCTTTAGCATTGCCGCTGTCCACCGAATACTGGGAGACCTTCACTCACTCAAAGTACCCTGAGGGTTTTCGCGGGAATGGTTCCTGAATAGTCGACCAGGGAAAATATACCCAGCGTTGCGGTTGATCAAACCGGTAACAGGGCCATAGTAGAAATAGGGGTTCTCAAATTTGCTTTCTTGGAATCTGTCCGCTGCACGTCGTGCCATGATATCCATGTTATAATCTCCGACTGGGTGCTCTCGAGACATGTTGTACCAAGCCATAAACTTATCCATTCGGAGGGTATGGGCGTTTCCTGTGGAATATAGATCATCCCGCGTATTGGAAGAGTCTGATTCGATCATGTTGTGAGACCCGATAAGCCCTTGCGGGGTGCCTGGGACGAATTGTCAACAACACTGATAATAAGATGCCGGGAGCTACTTCCACTCATACCAATCAATCCAAGAATATCGTGCAGAATATTTTCAGACTGGTTAGTCGGCCCTCCAATGCTGAATCCCGGAGTCAGGGAGATTGGGTTCCCAACCCACACTGTTCCCAAGACTCCAAGAATAGTCGCAAGGTCGATGCCCATTCCATATACTACATGTAGAGGTCATATTAATCAAAACTCAAGACGCCGTAAGGTGCGGTAGTTGGTGGCTAGCTCTCACCGTCGTTGATAGCAAAGATAACTTGCGCTGTCTGTTGGCCCCCGTTAGATTCCACAGTGAGCTAGATAGGGTAGCTTTAAAGTACAGTTGTGACTCCGTTATGTGGGATATATCCATGGTTTGCCAAGGCGTTCAAACCCGGGCAAGGACCTCGCTGGGCACCAGCTTCGAAGTTTGGTGGAACGAAAGCATGTTTTCCAGTAACTATGTTCAACGTTAGCTTAATATCACAGCTAGATAAGCCAATTGTCCATCTTACCCTCGATGGGCTTCTTCATCGTATCGACAAAGAGTCGCTTTTCCCGCTTGTGCTTAAGCTCAGCTTGGAGCAGCGAGTACGGACATCCTTTTTGGGACTGCTCTGCATTGAATCTAGCAATGTTTTCTGCAGACGGGAAGGCATTGACGAGCACATCCAACCCCAGGAGGGGAAGGGCAAAGGAGAGAATTGAAAGCTTCATGAGAAATAAAAGGGCGACGGTTCCAAGAAAAAGAGAAAATAAATATGAAAACGAATGATTGGAATTTAATATCTGCCTAGGTAAACCACCATTCGGGGTCTGGAAAAGGAGTGGACAAGCTCCAACAACCAAAGATCTAGAAAATGAGTGACAGAACGAAGCACCTCTGCGGTTATACAAAAGCTCACTTCATGGAGAGAAAATGCGAACGGATGGATATCTACTAGGTAGGATCGATATCCGGATGACATAAGTTGAAAGAAGAAGCGGGAGTAAAAGTCTCCGAAGAATATTATTCCTGCATAGTGCTAATCCGGCATATGTGAGTGGCTTCATCCCATGTCGCGAAGCCTGCTGGGACCTCTCATGCCACGACAGAGGGCTGGGGTGGAAAACTCGACAGCATCAAAATCGAGATCGACGCAGTACAAATTTCTTTTGTCGCGCCCAGACAAGGGATCCCAGACAAGGGATGGTTGGAGAACTACGCTGCGTAAGGTAAAGTCAGAATAGCCTGTTTCAAGCCTTGTAGGCATTTTCTGGGATAGAACCATGAAGTGGAACGAACCCACATGGTTCAAAAATAACCTTAACAAAGGGAGAGAGAGTACGATGTGCAGAATTCCATTCCATCTTGGACTAGCTGTGGGCTAAGTGCCCTAAAAGTGCCAAGGAGCGGCTCATGAGGTCGAAAACTGGAGAAGCATTGCCAGCTCCTCGCTATCTCCCAGCACGCTGGGCCGTCCTGGTTTTGTCGCTGTTGCAATTGATTGCGGTGTTGAGACCACGGAATGTTGGAATAGTTAGGGGTTCGATGTAGCGACGCTGGTGGTTGGTTGGCGAGTTGAGTAATTAATCACGTGGTGCTTCTTGCCCTACCTAGGTAGTTATCTAGCTAACTAACTAAACTACTGTATCTAACCTCCTTATTTTCTGTTAGCGCTCGAACAATGGACAGGACACAGCCAAACGTGCCTCCAAGAATTATCTCCGACAAGCCCAGCAAGCTTCCTGTTAGAATTTAACTTTCATACGAACCTACGGGATAACTCATCTTCTTCCCAGTACATAATCTTATAGTGAGTGTTGCTATCTGACAAGCCTTGCGAGCAGCAAGCGACTCTCTTCTACCGAATTCTCTTGGCTTGTTTGCCCTAGGGCAACACAGCTTCTCATCATGTCTCCGCCGGCCCTCAATCTGGGATTTCATGTTTGACCTGTGAGAGGAGTTACTGGAGCCTTTTGGCTTTCAGCCTTTCTTTGGTCAATGATCAGCATCAGTGGCTTACGCTGCGTACACAAAAGTTTGTTTGTCATAGCTGCGTTCCTTCTTGGGGGTTGTTCTCTGGACCTATGAGCATGGCCTCGATGAGAGGATTCCTTGACAACAGCCGAGGACGACTTCCCGTAGTTAGCCCTGGCTGATTCTTCGGGAGGTGGAGTGCGGAATCCCCGTCAGGAGCTGACGCCCGCGTCGGGCCTGAGGGAGGTCCATCAATATTTTTTTTGAAGTCACAATTCCTCCTTCTTGATCCTTGCGCGCCGTGAGGAACAATTCGCTATCAAGCCTCAAAATCGCCGGCGTGCGTAGATATTCTTTAGAACAGGATTTCCCATTTTCATTCATTATTGCTGGCCTCGTTCTTATTTTATTTCCTGACTTTGGCACCTCTGACTGTTGAAGTCATCTGGCTCGCGCTTCGCCTACTCTTCACTTTCCGTTGAATTTGTCCTTGGCTTTCTCTCAGTTTCTCCCACATGCGCGGTGATTGGGTATCACGGCGCCTCTATGGTACTTAGACCGTGGATAAGTGGATATGAAGGGTTTGAACATCTTCTTGACGGGGTTTGCAGCCCTTGTTTCAGCAGCGCAAGCAGAGAGGATATATGTACCTGAATGCACGGTAGGGTGTATAACCTGAGGAATAAGTATAAAACATTGCTAATTGTATTCAGATCGAGTGTACGAAACTGGCAATATCTGAACTATGCGCGCCAACTGACGTGAAGTGTTTGGATACCTGCACAAACCACCAGCTGGATGCTAAGATCGCACCATGCGTGGAACGGACATGTACAGTTAGAGAATCGTTGAGTAGGTGGTGGCTTCTATTCCATGATCGCTATCCACGGCTACTGATGTGATGCAGCAACGAAGAGGATCTCTGATTTAAAATGCGGACGCCCAATCCGGGACCGTACTAAGTTGATATCGGTTACGGGTGTGGTTGGGGGAGGCCTCGCGCTGTTGGCCTTCAGTTTGCGGATGATGGCAAGGTTGCCTTTTTTCAACGGTGGGCCATTTGGCATGGACGATGCGATGATAATAATAGCGATGGTTAGATCCCTATGATGACTATGGCCTTCGGTTTGAGTGGTGATTGCTAACTAAATATTAGATGTTCACAGTCCCCTTCACCGTGTTCTCAGTATTTAGTGAGTATCACTATTCTTGACCCTGACCACACAGGAAAATATAGCTAACAATCAATTTAAAATAGTCGCAAATGCTGGCCTTGGGAAAGACATATGGCATGTTGATTTCGACGACATCACAAAAGTTCTTTACGTGAGTAACCCCGCGTGCCTTTCTCGGGGGTCTTCGTCCGACTGACCAAGGCTTAGATATACTTTTGGGATGAGTGGATTTATTTTTCAGCTCTCACCGCGACAAAGATATCCCTCCACTTCTTCTATCTTCGAATATTCCCAAAAAAAAGTTTCAGGATAGCCATCTATGTCGTCATGGGCCTGACACTGGCATACGGGTTCGTCTTCATCATCGTGTCGGTGTTCCAATGCTCACCGATAAAACTTGCCTGGCTCCGGTGGGATGGCACTACCCCGGGCCACTGCAATAATATCAACCTGCAGGGCTGGACAAGCGCGGCGTTTAATATTGTCTTGGACCTACTTACTCTAGTTCTTCCCTTAAGGGAGTTATCGAAAATGGACCTTTGGCGCAGGAAGAAGATCCACATATGCATCATGTTCAGCGTCGGTTCTTTGTATGTTGATGTTTCCTTTTCCAGCTCTATCTTCTTGCAACAGAGAAGGCTAACAGTAAAACTTGATAGCGTCACTATCGTCAGCATTCTCCGCCTCCATACTCTTCTTGAATTTGCCAAATCGCACAATTTCACTTGTGAGTTTACCCTTTTAATTTCATGTCCACGATTTAAGACTAAACCAGTTTTCAGGGGACTACGTCGAAATGGGATATTGGAGTACAATTGAAATCCATGTGGGCATAATCTGCGCATGCATGCCAGCAATGCGATCCCTCCTCCGAAGACTATTTCCCAGCTTCTTCTCCTACACTCAGCATCAGAAATCTGGCACGTTCGGTAATAGCTCATCGCATGAAGAGTCCGCAATACGCAACTCGCAACGAACGCCTCAAAAGCCCGGGTTTCACGATTCGGACTCATTGCCTCTGGTCGATGTCTATAATGCTCGACTCCAGTACAGCTACTTCAATCCTAAGTAGGATCCGGCTGCCAGTCTATCTGGTTGCTCCGCCTGTTTGCCGAAATATAATTCTGCCTATCTTTTTAAGCCATGCCGTGTTCCATTCTATTTCTGTCGCTACCGTTTTAGACTTGTGATAATCGCCCTTTCGTTTTCTCATCTACTTATTGATCTTGAAGATCCCTGATACTAAATTTACGCTCGCTAGAGTCATACAGTGGGCAAGACCCATTGTTCTTTCGTTTCTCTCTCAATCTTCCCATTTTCCCTATTTGTATGATTTGCTAGGCTTTTCAGTTGAGAGTAATATTATTGGAGGCACAGAAAAGGGGGCTTTCATTCCTGCAGAATATCCTGGTTCAACCACTTCAAAAAAAATACACATAAGCATCCTGCGTAATCACATTTAAACGCTACCAACAAAGGGGAACATGGCTCTAAGTGGAGCCTCCGTTTCCACTATTCCCTCCCACACGGCACACGGCTTGGGGTTGCTCGTTCGGAGCCTCCGAGGCAGGTTGGACGAGACGAAGTTAAGCATTTGTCCCATTTTGGAATCATGGTCAACGGACCATTGTGTACTCTCACCACAGCTAAAATACGGTCTCGCGACAATAATCAATTATCGCCTCCTCTCATACTCCCTATGACATATAGTTATATACTCTAACTAGTAAAATTGAAGTTTGCGCAGTATACGGGAAAATTCAAAGCATTTTCCAGCCGCAATCTTAGCATATTCAGCCTTTACCCGAGCCGAAGCTCCCCCAACTCCGGAGGCAAGTATGAACATGAGAGTTTGAACTAACTTATGATCATGCAAAGTGACTGGCTGGGGCCGTGGTACCTTGTTATTGTGCTAATCCCACCCACCGTGCTGGAGCATTTAGCGCTTACTCCATGGATATTGTGCAGCTTAGTTTTGATACCTGGCAGATGATCGGCATGCAAGCTCTTTTTTAAGGTTCCGACCAGACCTCAACGCCCAAGCGGGAAATCCCTAGCAGCCCTGGCAGGCATTTTACCAAAATAACAGTTCGTCAGATAGGCATAGTGGAGCCAAAAGTTTCGCGTGGCAGAACAGAACGAATAATTGCGATTCGAGTATTGTTTCAAAGGCAGAAAAGGCTCCCTCTTGGTTTTTTTTCTTGGGTATTGCCTTGCTGTTATTGGGCCCAACTCGATCCTCAGCATTCTAGAAGACTTCCTGAACATCGCTGCGAAACCTACAGACTGACAACCATACCTCCAACACTCCGCAAAACGCACTTGGCGGGGACATTTTCTCCGTCGAGTCCGAAGTTAGGATCGACAACTGCCATGCGACGGATTTCCTTAGTCGTGACTAGCTACCAATGGCGCATTAGAGAGCCTCTGAAGGGGTGTTGTGAAGGGCGCCGAAGATGAGCTCCATTTCCATGATGCCCATTCAGGATTGAGAAACGGCTGAGTTTGAACGGTCGACGACGGTTCGTAACAGTCATACAAATATAACCGGTTCGTCTGAGCGAAATCGCAAAATCGCAAAATCGCAATTTGTGTGGAGACTACCGGCAGCGAAACCTGGTCAAGCGCCTGGCCCTCCTGCTTCCAACCCTATGATTATTCTAGGCATCATCGCACTCAACGCGAGAGGTTGGTATTGGGTTGGAGTTAAGGGTACGCAAAGGTAGATACAGCCTTGAGAAATATTGGACAATCATCATCATCATCATCATCATCAGTATCAGTATCAGTATGAGATCTTTTATACGCTGCGTAACTCCGTGTCCCCTTCATCGGATTGTTTCTCTCACCGATGCTAGAGCTGACGCCGAATGTTTTTCCGGCCGAAGTAACTAACATGAGGCCTATCCTGTAGAACTCCGGGTGGTGTCGTCCTGCTGTTTACTCCGCCCATCCCACCACCTGAACGAGCGAACGGGACCAGGGTCAAAAATGCGATCGTCAGGGGATGTTGCATTCATGTTGAACTCAATTCCACCCGCTCCGTCATCTGTTAAGAATAGGTTAGCACCAGGATATCGAGCAGGGGATTCATGAGTGTCCCAGGGCCAGCTACCTCTGAGCCGTGCCGAGGGGTGAAGATCTATATCATGCAGAACACTTTCATACCACATCTGAGTGTAGCCTATCCCAACTCTGGAAGGCTGCTGGGAAACCAAACTGAGCCGCCAGCAGCTGGGTTCACCCCGGCGCCTGATGAGAAAGTCCCCTGCGAGCGGGACGCGGACGCCGGGAGCGCCATCCACTGCGGGAAAAAAATAAATAAATAAATAAATAAATAAAAAAGCACCCCACCCCATTAGCATGTGTAAGTTGGCCGATGGAGGGTGAGATCATTACTAACATAGTCTGTTGCAATGGATAATACTCATAGCATCCACCTATCTCCACCAATATCCGTAGCTCCAGCTCTAACTCCAGACTCCACGGAGCCTTTTATGCTCAACGTTAAGTCCTGCTCTTCACGGGAGCTCAAGAGAAAGGGGGATTGGAAAGAGTTTGAGTTCTCCGTGTCGGGCAGCCCAGTCAGTCTGTTGCTACCTTGATCACTTGTTCCTCCGCGTATCGTCTCTCGTTTCTATTTCTCTTTTCTCTTTGTTCCTTTGCTTCGTCTTCGGGCATTTGCAACTTGAACATTTCGCCTTCTGTGAGGCTGCGTTTCTTGTAGCCGGCGGCGATTTGCAAAGATATTTCACTTACATTCGGCCAAGCCTCTTGACGATATGCTCCCTGGACAGGGCCTTATCTTGCTCGCTCTCGTCGCTTCTGACGTGCTGGCTGCGACGTAAGTGTCAGGAGTTGGTTCAGACGAAGTTATTAAAAAATGTGACATCTACTGACACTTCTAGCAGCGTTCACGGAAAGCATCACAACCACCTTAATGGTGTCTATGACAAACATCAATCGTCCAATACCACAGACGAATATGAATATGTCATTGTCGGATCTGGCCCAGGAGGGGGCCCTCTCGCATCTAGACTTGCCATTGCAGGGCACAAAGTGCTTCTGATAGAAGCTGGCGATGACCAGGGCGATTCTATCGTGTATCAGACCCCAGCTCTTCATTTGCAATCAACAGAATATGAGCCAATGCGCTGGGACTACTGGGTTAACCATTACCCCGACCTCGAACGCCAAAAGAAGGACTCCAAATTTACCTACAGGAAATCTGATGGCCAATTTCATGTCGGAGCGACTCCACCCGCAGATGCCGAACCTTTGGGGATTCTATATCCAAGAGCCGGAACTTTGGGAGGTTGCGCCTCCCACAACGCATTGATTAGTGTTTATCCCCACAAGAGTGACTGGCTTAACATCCAGACCATCACTGATGACGATTCCTGGGCCCCGGAGAAGATGCGAAAACTCTTTCAGCGTCTGGAACGCTCGCGATATATGCCTAATGGTCTTCTCGGCCACGGCTTCGAAGGCTGGTTCGAAACCAGCCTAACAGACTTGGGCCTCGTTTTGCAGGATCTCAAACTTATCTCCCTGGTCGTTGCGATTGGCACTGCCATGGGCAAAAGTGTCGGCAAAGTGATCTCAACCGTCGCTGGCTTGGCGGAGGTTTTGCTTTCTGATATCAACGTCGACACCCCGCTCCGTGACTCCACTGAGGCCGTATACCAGGTCCCCATCGCGGTCAATATTCCGGAGTATAAACGGAATGGTCCTCGCGAATTCATCCTCCAAACCGCCAATGCAGTCAACGAAGATGGGTCGAGGAAATACCATCTGGACATTGCCCTCAATACCCTTGTAACCAATGTTCGATTCGATAACTCTGGCCCTGCACCGAGAGCCGTTGGTGTAGATTTCCTCAAGGGACAAAGTCTCTACTCAGCTGACCCTCGTGCTTCTGGCGCTAAGGAAGGAATCCCAGGCATCGCCACCGCTACCAGAGAAGTGATTCTCTCTGCCGGAGCATTTAATACGCCTCAATTACTGAAACTCAGTGGCATCGGGCCCAAGGATGAGCTGAAGAAATTCGACATCCCAGTCCTCGTCGACCTCCCCGGAGTTGGCCAGAATCTCCAGGACCGCTACGAGATGGGTCTTGTTGCAGAGACCGAAACCGATTTCCTCCTTACCTCCAAATGTACTTTCTTGACCACCGATCCAGACCCATGCCTTGAGCAGTACTTGACCGGCCACTTGGCTCTTGGAAAAGGAACTTACACCACCAACGGCCTTGCTGTCGCAGTGGTCAAACGTTCCTCTGCTGCAAGCGGTGATCCCGATCTCCTTATATCTGGCGCCCCAGCCTTCTTCCCCGGCTACTATCCCGGCTACTCCGTTAAAGGCCTTTCCGACGCTCGTCACTGGACCTGGATCCCGCTCAAAGCACACACGCGCAACAATGCTGGCACTGTCAAGCTGCGCTCCAAGGATCCCCGCGACATGCCCGAGATCAACTTCAACTACTTCGACGCTGGCGTCACGACAGACGATGCTGACGAGAAGGATCTACAGGCCGTTGTTGAGGGGATGGAGCTGTCGCGAGAGATCTTCAAGAACGTCGTGCCCATCCAGGGCAGCTTCAAGGAAGTCTGGCCTGGTACTGAGCGAGCCAATGACACCGAGAGCCTCAAGGAGTTCATCAAGAACGAAGCGTGGGGCCACCATGCCTCGTGCACGTGTCCTATTGGTGCCGACGATGATCCGATGGCTGTGTTGGATTCCAAGTTCCGCGTCCGTGGCGTTGAGGGTCTGCGTGTTGTTGATGCCTCTGTCTTCCCCAAGATACCTGGCTTCTACATTGCCGTGCCAATCTATCTGATCAGCGAGAAGGCTGCAGATGTCATTCTTGAGGCTACAACGGACTAAAGATAAACATAAAAATTCATATAAAAAAATAAGGGTAGTCAACCAGGTTGTCATTTTATGCCTTCCCGCCATAATAACGGAGTCACCGTACATTAGGAACCTGTCTGCACTGTACATTGATTTTTGTATTCTCTATATATATTTCCTTCTAATTTAGCCACTACTATTTTCTTCCTTTCTCCTTTGCTGAGCGATGTGTGCCCTTCAATTTGAGCATAATAATCTGCATATAAGAGCCACGACTTATATTATTCAACCTGTTCAACCACACAGATTCATTGAGTGAGATACGAGTAAGTTTACGATGATGGCTCAATCCTTTCAAACGTTATTCTCGTAGAAGTGTTGGGTTTCTTAGATGAAGGCGTCAACACCTGAAGGTTCCTAGCTGTATATGCCATTAGATAAATTAACGGACTATGCTTCACCGACGTATAAGAGATTTCGTTGTTAGAGATGATTAAGGAGTTGCTGTAGGCTACTGGGGCAAAAGAGCTCAATCACCACCAGCGCCTGCTGGTAGAAGGGCCGACCAACCGCGGGACCCCCAACACCCCCCCTCGGACCAGCTACCACAGAGTACAGTACTTCCCCTCAGTGGCTCCCTTCAGTGGCCTCCCCACAATGGCTCCTTTTAATAATGGACTGGACCACTCAGTCCTAGGGCTCAAAGGGACTTCTAGGGCACACTCCTGGGATGTCTCTTGGCACTGTTAAAATGTCCAGGGTATTTGTTAGGAATTTTTAAGTCCATTCTGGGATTGAACCCATGCATGTTGACCACAGCGGGGCTCACGCTTAACGGTCTCATAACCTGTAGGCTACTGGGGCAAAAGAGCTCAATCACCACCAGCGCCTGCTGGTAGAAGGGCCGACCAACCGCGGGACCCCCAACAGTTGCCACTGATCCCCGCCAAGATTTATATCTTAGTCATCCATTACCAACCCAGCTCCTCACTTAACTAACCTACCTACATAGTCTCATTCAGCTATGTATCAACTATCTCTCACGTACTCACTCTAGCATATTGGCTGAAGGCCCTAGGAACCCCTTTGCGTTTAATGAAACTAAATATGGAGCCTCACTCTCTGCTTCTGACGACGGGATGCCTTCAAATCTGCTCACAAGCCTTCTGCTCTGGCTTTTCCCACATCGCCTTTGCTGCCTGCCCCCCTCCATGGCAAAGACGATCTCAGATCTACGACAATGCCTCCCTATACACCGCACCTATCTCAGGTTCCACATGTACTATTATGCCTCTAATAGTTGGGTGATATCGATCTTTTGTTGTACAGCCAAGAGTAGAATTGGATTTGTATCCAATGTGGTTTCCTTTTGATTGCCATTGGTGGCGCCCCAGAGGTCAGCGAGGTGTGCAACTTCCTTCGCAATGAATGGCTGGGCTCAACAATGGTATTTTTCCATTATATTTGCCCTTCTCAGGCATCAGATGGCATGTACCTTTTCTTTTCTTTATTATGCTATACATGATACCATGAGAAGTTATCTGCATCCTCTTTTATCTGGTTTTTATTGTCATATTTTAGGCAAGTGACTCGGAGCCCAGAGACCAATCCTAACATCGGATATCCCTTCATGAATAATGGCTTCCGCGATGCTTTGAATGATATCTCTTGAAACATCTCATATCGTCTCATCGTGGTGAGGTTTTGCGGATTCCTCGTCGGTTTCTTTTCTTCTTTTTAACGGCGTATGGACTCCACCTCAGATCGCTACCCTTTTGACTACTTATTACCTCCTGTTTTGGTTTCTGGATCTCGCGATCCAACATCTGTGCACGTTTTATTCTATTCTGTTTGCGCCTCTTTGACCATATCTACAATCCAGGGCATGGGGATCGGGACTTTTTTGGAACCATTGGTGGTTATTACACTGCTTGTGGGGGGAACATGGATCAACCGATCATCTGAGATATCCCGTCCATTTACCCACGATACAACAAGGCCTAGTTCGGTTACAAGTGATGAATTCACGGATAAAACAGTTGGCAGCGTTGAGGATGGGTTATCAACGACTACCAGTACACACGATGGATCGATGTCAACCCACTTGTACTGTTCCTTATCTCCATCTTTGCTTCTAGATCAAGAACCGCCATGGAGAACTCGCCAGATTTGGTTGTGGTCATGGAAGAGAGAGGTTATGACGCCAAATACAGCTAAATATCGGAATCGATGTTTCAGCAGATTTCTTCGGAGATTCCCGTTTTTAGTGGAATGTTGGTACTGGACATTGGTGTATTGGGTACGTCACCTTTTGTGCTAGAGTTTACAGAACACATGAAACTATGCCTAAATTCATATGCTGACATTATATATAGACATATCAACTTGCGCGAGCCTTCACCGCGGTCACTCTTCAAGATGCAACAGTGGACATCGCACGAAAGCATGCATTACAACTCATAAAGCTAGAGGAAAGTCTCCACATATTCTGGGAGCTACATATACAACATTATTTCCTCCACCACCCGATACTACTGACTTGTACTAATTGGCTCTACTCTTTTATTCATATACCTGGAACGATTGCTTTCCTTGTTTGGCTTTACTACTGCAGCATCACGAGAAATCGACCTGCAGACCGTTATTCCATGAAGCTCGAGGGTTATCAAAGCAATGTCCTTACAGGTTCAGAGCTCTATCAAGCTCGCAGGCGGACTCTAGCATTTTGTAACCTGCTTGCATTTGTGGTATTCACGCTGTGGCCGTGCATGCCACCTCGGCTTCTTAGCGATCGATCAGTCACTGGGTTGGTTGGTGAGTTTTCAAGGAGCTATGGATTTGTTGATACAGTTCACGGGGTTGGTGGTGCAAGCAGTGTTTGGACGCAGAACAAATTTTGTAATCAATTTGGTCAGTGTCAAGATCTACAGCCTTCCATATGTGTGGAGTCTCTTGCTCACCCTTTGTTCCTCTACTTACTTTTAGCCGCCATGCCATCTCTACATTTTGGATATTCGCTGATGATCGGAATCACTATAACAACCATTCCGCTTCCTTCTGAGCACACTCGATCCCGAGCCTTACTACCACATTTTCTCAACTTTTCTCTCCCTGGCCTCGCCTCCAAAATCCGCCCCCTAGCTTGGGAGCGCATCGTAGCTATTGTTGTCGGGATTACGTACCCGTTTACCATTCTCGTTGCGATAGTGGCAACCGCTAACCATTTCATTCTCGATGCGTTTGCCGGCGCGATTATCTGCGGGTTAGCATGGTGGGGAAATTCTGTCCTTTTAAACCTCCTTCCGTTGGAGGATTATCTTTTTTGGATATTGAAGATTCACAAGCCAGAGCAAGGGTCTCACTGTCTACGCCCTTCGCTAGTTTTTGATGATTGTGATGGAGACCACGTCAAAGATGCTATGAATTACCAAATTACGCACAAGTCCCTTTTTTGACTTTTTCATTACGCTTTTTTGTTTTTATTGGTTATTCGCTCATTGGTTATTATATCCATGCGACTAGATATACCATTCGCCGCCTGTGGATGTTTCACTCTTGTTATTTTTGTCAGGTTCAGCAGATTTCCTGGTGGGTGAGAATTTGTTGGTCAGGACCTGATACTGTATCATTATCAGAAGCCCCAACAGCAACTTCTCCCCATGTTAATGTTGTCATCTGAAAATCCGACCATGCTGCCCTGTTTCTGTGATTCTTTTTCTGTATGCCTGGCTGATGTATAGTATTTCTTGTTAGTCCTAGGATATGATGCCACCCTTTTCATTGTTCTTCTCTCAATTGACGTGTTTGCTCCACTGTCTGGAAACGAAATGACTGCCACAGAGCACCGCTTGTTCTATACAGGTTTGGTTATCTTTTAATCATGTCAGCTAGGTGCGTGATGCGCACAGTTCGGGGATTTCTTGTGTGTCTTGGAAAAAGAAGGGGGAAAAAAAACATCAAAACCTAAAAAGTTCAACGGCTCGTTTTCTCCTGTGAGAGTTTTTTTCCTACGGCAGAAATTCCTCCCCCACCACCTCCTGGCGCCTGCTGCTTGCTGCCCGGTGCTCAAATTCGTACCCGGATACGACCTGATTGATTTCCCTTGAGGTACCCCACACTGGCAGGGGTCGGGATCTGGTATGGCAAGCCTCTCTCGAGCACCAAGCAAGGCAAGAGGATGGATGGATGGATGGACAGTTCGCGGGAAGGAGGTGGATGTAACTTGGTGATCCTTTTCGCTTCTGCTTGGTTTGGCTATGTAGGTTTTATTTTTATTTTTATTTTTTTCAAAGTCTTGATACCCTCCACGTTGCTAGGATGAAGAATGAGCGGGAAAGGAGAAATGAGGATGGGAAGAGAAATGGAGGAAGAAGGGAAGGGAAGGGAAGATGTGGAATAAATTCCAAATGTCTTGTCATCTTTGAGTTAAGGCTACCTTGGTAAGGTCGGTCGGTGGTAGAAGACGTTCATGGGTGAGGGAGTTTCTTTCCCAGCTGGCTGCTAGTAGTCTTTGTCTGCACCATTTTTCATTCAGCGAACAAAAATCGGGCGGCGTGCTCCATGCGCGTATTCGCACGTCCTGTTCTGGAAAATGCCACGGCCAAATCGTAGTAACCAAACTACAAGCAGCTTGTATTTTTTCGATTCAGACGAACGAAGAGCTCAGACGGTTGTTAGATATGTTTTTGATAACTCTGGTTTGAGTCTGTTATTTTGTTTTATTTATTTCTTATTTATTTATTAAATGAAACACTTATTGTATCTGAAGCGGATTTTAAAAGAGCTACTCTTGCAACTCCAGAAATGACGTTTTAAGAACTGGCTAAATAAAATGAATAGACAAGTACATAATAGATAGAGTAAATAAATCAAACAAGTTCTCTCTCTCTCTCTATATCTATATATATATGAGCGGTAAAACGGGAACGAACACAGCATTCAGAGCTCTCAGATCATGGATGGGAGGGAAGGGAAGGGAGGGTAAGCGATGGCTTGACCATTAAATAAAGCGGGCTGATGCTGCTCTATTTCCTCCTCGCATCATCATCATCATCATCATCATCCCTTCATTCCCTCTCCTATCTCACTCAACTCCGTGATCTGTTACTACGTACTCTACTACGGGTTCTTCCAGCTGGTGGCCTGCTTGGATAAAAAGAAGACCAGGTCTTTTTTTCTACGATAATTCCAGGATTCCTCTACAGTTACCTACTATATACTTCTGTGGTTGCATCTATATATATACCCCTCCGTGAGCAAGCAAAAAATCTAAAGAGGGGAGGAGATATTGATCATATATCTCTCTGCCTGCCTGACTTTCTACTGGATTTATTGCTTTTTGTTTCTGTTGTTGCTTTACTGTTGGTTTTTATTTTTATTTTTTTTTTTTGGTCGAAAGGAAAGGTTCAAACGGGGCTGTATTGAACACAGCAACCCTTTTACTTCATTGTACTTGAGATTTTTCTATTCATTTACTATTTTTGAAAGTTTGAAAGAGCTTGGGGATTTTCCTAGCAGTGACGAGAAAGATAAAAAAAAAGAGGGAAGAAACCGAAGCTGTGAAGGTGAAGAAGCCCCTCCATTTATTATTATCCCCCCTTCGTTGTGGTTGTGAATCACTCCAATCCAGGGCAGATAAAGGGAGAAGAAGCCCTCTCTGGAATTCGAACAATACCCTCATACGAATTACTTAGCCAAGGCTAAATAGAGAGCAGAGCAGACTGCTGTCTCATCTCTGAGATCTATCTATATCTATATATCTATCTTTCTGTCGTTGTGGTGGTTTCTTCTTCTTCTTCTTCTGCTGGTCGCCCCCCGAGTCTTGCCGCAGCGCCCTTTCCACACACGCGTTTCTTGTCTCACGCCACGATCTTCACGCACCCAAGGAATCATAATATTTATTATCCACCGCCAACTCCCAACGCCAAACACACAACTCTCTCGCCCTCAACTCCCTCCACCCATTAACCCGCCCAATCCACCCCGTCGACCACCCCTTCGCCTGGCCATCATCGCCTTTCTTCTCACGCCCTACGCCAGCTCTCCTATTCTTTTGTTCTCCATCTGCTCTGTTTTCTCTCTACCATGGCAGAGGATGCAAACCCCGCCGCATCCCGAGGCGACTCGGTCCCCGAGACTACGCCATCAGCAAACGCTGCTCCCAATACTCCTGGGTCTCCACGCCCTGAGAAAGATGAGCAGGCCGATGTAAAAAAGCCTGAAGACGCGTCGGCCGGTAAGCGCTCCTGCTTCATCCTCCTGCCCCTTCCCTACGTTGTATTCCGCCAACCCCCCTATTATTCCCTTTTGTTGGAGAGACGGAGTACCCTCTTTCTTTACCTCTTCTGCTGACCTGTCGCTGTCGACGTGCAAGGAACAGATGCTGCGGCTTCTGAAAAACCCGAACCCGCTGCTACGGACGCCTCAACAGACGCTGCCAAGCCTGGGTCAGCCGCTGAAACACAAGAGCAAAAGACGGACGACAGTGCTGCTCCGGCGGAAGAGACTGCTGAAACCGCTTCTCCCACCGCAGATCGCGCCAACGGGACACCCGCTGCGTCTAAAAAATCGAGTGCCGCAAAACGCAAGTCAACCGGGGGCGACACCAAGGGGAAGAAATTGAACAGGAAGAAGTCTTCTGCTCGAATTACACACCTCGATGCCAAACCTGGAGAATACTACATAGCTCGTCTGAAAAGCTACGCTCCCTGGCCATCGATAATCTGTGATGAGGAGATGCTACCGCCCTCACTTTTGTCGACGCGTCCGGTTACTACGAAGCAGCAGGATGGCACGTACAGGGAAGCTTACAGTGATGGGGGCAAACGGGTGCACGAGCGCACGTTTCCCATTATGTTCTTGTACACTAATGAATTGTGAGTGGAGTTCTTTTCCTTTTTTTGGCCTTTTTCCCCAATGTCCCTCAGCTGGAATTAATGCGCTGGGCTCTTCCAACCCCCCCCCCCCCACCCCTTCCGCATGGTATGATTACTGGATTAGAAAATATCGGAAGTACGAGCTAAGAGAAATTGATATGTTTTCAGCGCCTGGATTCCAAACACAGACCTCACACCCCTCGACCCAGAGTCCTGCAAAGATGTAAATGAGAAGGGAAAAACGAAGAACCTGATTGAAGCCTACCACGTAGCTGCCGAGAACCATGATCTTCAATACTTTAAAGATATGCTTGCCGACCATCAGCGGGCATTGGAGCAGGACCAAGAGGAACGTGAAGCTCGCGCGGCAGCAAAGGCAGCGAAGCAAGAGAAGAAAAAGCGGAAGAGCATGGATGTAGCTGATGAGCACGAAGACGAGGCAGCAGAGACAGGAGCTGAGAAACGAAAGACCACGAAGAAACGGAAGAAGGATGGTGAGAGCGAAGCTGAGAGCGACAAGGTAAGCAGATGTCCCCGAAATTTTGTGGAGTTACGATTTCTCGATCGCATACCTTCGGGCGCGGCATTTTGGGTGGTGCTTTGAGTGCTTTGATGGAAAGGACAGGTGGCTAATGGGGATTCGTTTTGTTTTTGGTCGCACACAACACAGCCCGCAAAGACCCCGAAAACTGCCACTAAACTTAAGTTGACCACGCCCAAGACTCCCGCGACCGGTGAGCCAGGCAAGAAAACTGCAGCCAAACCAGCTAAAACGAAGGCCACCAGTGCCAAAAAGAGCAAAAAGGAAACAAAGGCAACAAGTGATGAAGATGCTACTGAAGCTCCAAAGGAAGCTGAGGTTGAGAAGCCGATTGATCCACAGGAAGCGAAGCTGAAGAAGGAGAAAGAAGGTAAAACATTTTATCTATCATCATCCATTGCCCCGGTTTAATTTTTGCTCTACGATATTATTTTCTACATCAGTTCCAACACATTTGCAGCACCAAAGAGCTGTGCTGACCTGATTCCCAACAGTTCTCTATCTTCGCCACAAACTCCAAAAAGGGTTCCTCACACGTGACCAGGCTCCCAAAGAAGAGGAAATGGCGTCAATGTCTAACTTCATCCAGAAACTGGAATCATATGTCGACCTTGAGGTCAGCATCATCCGCACAACCAAGATCAACAAAGTGTTGAAGGCCATTATCAAATTGAACTCGATCCCCAAGGACGAGGAATTCAATTTCCGCGGCCGCTCCATAAACATCCTGAACAAATGGAAGACCCTGCTAGATTCTGATATCCCCCCGCCAAAGGAGAAGGAAGAACAGGAGCCTGAGCCTAAACCAAAGGCAAATGGCCACAACCAGGTCAATGGGCGGAAGGCGGAAGAGGTGACTGAAGGGGATGATGAGGCTGCTGGTGGTACTACTTCCACTCCCCGAGCGGATGAAGATGAGCCTATGCCAGATGTCCCAGCGGAAGTAGGGGCCAAGGCCCATGGTGAGAGGTCAGGTTCGTCTCCTGCTGAAGGGGAAGCGGAGGCTGTGGAGGCTTGAGGCATAATTTGTTACCTGATTTCTGGAGCTTTCGCCTGCCCATTTCATTTTTCCTCTAAATTTTATTTTATTATATATTTTATTTTCTTGTGTCTAGTTTCGTTTGTTGTTTACCTTTTGCCTCGTTTGTGCGTGTGCTTTTGAAGTAAGAAGTCCGAGTTTGAGTGAGTGAAACCCGGTTTTCACGAGGTTTTCACTTTATTTTATTATTATTACGTTTTCATTCCTCTTTCTTCCTCTGTTATTATTATATTTCTCATTTTTTCCAACTTCCCTCGCCATCCGATAACATCAAGGATGTACAGGTGTATTTTCTGGACAGGTTATGTGACTCCGTCTAGTTGGGCAGTGCGAGGGAGATGGGTCATGGATTATATGGAATGCTCCATGACAGATATAGGAAGACGGTTTGGGGGTAAGTTGTTTTCAAAAAGCAACCATCAGTCAGGATTATGTATGGGAGATTTCTTCATGCGCCTGTCCAACGGGTGTGATGGGGCAAAATGTGACCGCCAGACCAACGAGAAAACGAAGTCAGCAAGGATGAAAGAAGGGAAAGAGAAGTGGATAATAAAAAGTAGCTCCGGGGTTAGGGGCAAGGGAAAGGCATTTTGCTTGTTTGCCAGTTTGCTTGGTTGGTTGGTTGCGATGGGATGGTGTGTTTTGAGAAAAGAAAAAAAAAATTTGTTTTTGCATTAGCAAAAAAGGTAAAGCGAAAGCAAAATTGAAAGTAAAACAAAAAAGAAAAAAGAAAAAAAAAATTTTAATAATAATAGGTTGCATTTGAAAAGAAGTAAGCTTGATTAATATAGGTGAGGAGGCAAGAGAAAAAATATTAGGTGTGTTCGTCTTTTTATTTTATTTTACTTTGCTGTCTCTTTTTTCTCTTTCTTTTTATATATATTTTTATCTTCAACAATTTCCTGTTTCCTGTTTCATTTTCTTTGTTTTTTCTTCCCCCCCCCCTCCTTTTTTTGCAACCAAAAAAATACCCTTCAACTGAAATGGAACTGGGATAATATGGCGGTGGTTTTTGTACGGCATTTTGGGCTTTCTACTTTTTCCTCTATTGTTTTTGTCTCCTCTCTTATTTATCTCTTTTCCCCTTCATTATTAACTCTTGAATTACATCCTCACTTTCTGAAGTTATATCTGTGTACAGTCGCTGTGCCCCCTTTCTTTTCTTTTCTTTTTTTGGTTTATCTTGTGATTTAACTATTTTCATCAATTCTGAAAACGCGTTTTTTGTTGCCTATTGTCCTACGCAAGCCATCAAAGGAACAAATACCGATTGATCTATTATGGCCTCATAGTTGATTTTACTATGGCTCCTTCTGGCAGTTTTCCCCCGGTCAAAAGACAGGTAAATTTCTTGTCTATGTGTGAATAAACCCTAAGAGAGAACCACGAGTTGGCAGATCAGACAATTGTTTTGAAAATATCATAAGAAATTGTAGTCTTGTCTTGCGACACTGACTCCCCTCCCTCACCCCCCTCTAATTAATTATATGTAGGAGGAAACAATGATGTCCCCCTAAATTGTCCCAACTTGCATAGATTTCCCCATTGTTCATGATCAGGAGGATACCTGGCCACGGACCCGTAGGGCTATTTGTAGAGGTATTAAGCCGGTTCACGGTCATCGCCAGAGATAACTGCGGTGGAGCTCAACTGAGATGCTTAGGTGGGCGGCTTCGATTGAGGGATCAAATTGAATCACTGGCGTATTACTTGTTAGTACTTGGGTACCGGTACCTTCGTAGATAGGTTACTAACAAGTCATGGATGTTCACCCTTGCACCCCCATGGCGGATGATTCGAAGATCACACAAAGTATAGGTGGAGGAAATGTGGGAATGGCTGACTTGATAGCTGGCATTCTAGACCGATGGTATCAGAGCGGAAATATTATACATTAAGTGATGAAGAGCGTGAAGCCGAGAGACAAAACGAGTCGAGGAAGAAGTTTTAAGGGGTTGTCAAGCTTGATATATATAGGAAGGCTTCAACCAGCAGCCCCAAGCTTTGTTCTGGTTCCTTCCATATCAGTTCCTGTGGAGATACATCCCATGGGCCAGGAAGGTGCCATGGCCATATCGCGCGCACCTGCCATCTCTCGCATATCTTTTTCATCCCACGCGAAAGAACCAGACGTCGACACGTGAAGATATTGATAAGACCCGGATGGCCTTCCTTTCTTTTTGTTGAACCCGGACTTGCGGTGCACGGCGGTGGGTGCTAAATGCCAGCCAGGCCGTATACTGTCCTCGCGCTTTGAGCGCATGTCACGGAGGTATGTTGTGTCAATGCGGATCGGCCGGAAGGGGCAGATTATTTCGGTCCAAACCTGTTAGTCGCTGCAGTGTGATCCGTGCGATGTACCATACAGGGGTATATATCTAATAAAGTATTGGTATGAATACGTCTCCTATGGAGTCGCCCAGCGCACATGAGGAGCTCTGCGAGGGGATAGGGCACAGGCGGCAGTGAGCCCCCCTGCTTCATCGGAAACGAGTTAATCAGGCAATCTTCCGCCCAACATTTCCTATTCCTCTGCCAACAACGCTAATGATCACGTCCCCTGAGTCATTTTCTCCAGGTGCGTCCCTAATTCCCCACCCAGGAGTACCGAATTTATTTAGGTCCCTGGCGAACTGGACCATGGACTCATCCGCGATGACATCCCTTCCCACTTGCAGTCTTCCTACGTCTTCAGAGCCCATCGCCATCAGCGTTATCATCGTTGGAGCCGCAGCCTTCGAGACACATCCACCCACTGAGACGGACTCTAGGAGTTGGTACGCACACCGTTTCCCGATATCTTCTGGGGGTTCCCCACCGGTGGGTAACGAGGCCACATCAGCGGAAAATAAACAACCCGTGGAGGACTCAGCGACTAAAGACAGCCCAAACCCAAGGCCCATCTTCTTTTTGTTAGAAGGGTTATCTCTGGTCGGTGCAGCGACTAAAGGCGCCGAAGAGACGTCTGAAAACACATAGGTATCGGGGCAAAGGGGGTTCAGGATGCCTCTCGCAACTTCAATCATCCTGGCGTTATGAGATCCAGATACGCCTACAGCATATGCCACACCACGTATTTTCTTTATTCTACCGGGGTTTAGCAAGTGTAGCGTCTTCGGAAGTCGAACCTGGTGACCGAACACCAGCTGAACCTCTCCTCCTCCACCTTTTCCATTGGGGCCGGGATTTGACCGTTTCAACACACGCAGCTCGATATTGTTGAAAATGCCAAATTGAGAAAATAACGGAAGAATAGCAGTCCGCACACTATCGACAGACATATCGCCGGTTGGGGTGGAGGAGGTAATGACACCAGGACCGGTGAAGAGGATATTAAACTGTGCTTTGGAGAATGGCGCAAGGAGGCACATTGGTAATAAGAAATAACTAATGCCGCGAACACAGTTGGAAGGGATCTCATGCTTTATCACACCCCCGCTTGCACCAGACCCGGGTGCGCTCCCTGTTATAAGCCCCGGTTTGTAGAGAACGATGGTTCCAGTGTAGGAAATTTCCATGTGTGAGCCATTGGTAACAGCTTCGAGGAGTCGTAGAAATGAAATCTCATGGGGAGCAAGCCCCGTATGGATGGGATCGGACGGCCGGATTTGAGATATATGAACCGGACGCCCAGTGAGGGTCGAGAGAACAAGGCGGAGTGCAAGCTGGCGATGGGAGGTGAACCGCAGAGGGGGTTGCGGAGTAGCCATGGTTTGTGTAAATTGGAGACTGGACCGAATAGCTGTTATCGGGGCATGAGAAGGAAATTGTCTGAGAGTATATATATAAATATTCAATTATCGAAAACCTGCTCGCTCCTGAAATCGATCTTGTTCACATCCACAGGAGCCAATATCAAAATCCTGGCGTTGCGTTTTTGACAGTTCAAAAAAATATATAAAAATATGGGTGGATAAACATTTATCCGAATTCTGACGGGACCGGTATGGAGTGTATGCGTAATACCGAACCTTATCCTTATGGCATACAAATAGCACCCTTCAACCGCTGTAACTAGCGTATTTCCATGACACCGCGGGGAGACAAACCTCCGAATTTCATAGATATAACAGAGTTGGATCTGGAAAAGCAGCAACAGAAATTTGACATGGCCAAAAACTGCCTTTGACTCAGTGCGAATTGCATCTCTGTCTCCTGGAACTGAGATCTCACTGCCCGTACATAAATCGAAATCGATCGCCAACTCCTGACCTATTCCACTCCTTTCTTTACAACAACCCAACCCTCCGTTTGCCCGCATCGGACATTGCGGGGGATCCGCACTCCAAGCTACCAGCTACAATGCTCCCGCCAGCGCTCAACCTGCCGCAATGGTAACCCATCCCACTATACATATTTAAATACATGCACATGCCCCGCCCAATAAGAAAGAAGACAAAAAGAGGAAAAAAGAAAAACAAAAAAAAAAAAAAAAAAAAAAACCAAGAAGAAAGAAGAGAAGACAAGCAGCAAGCGCCATTCCACCCACACACTTCATTTTTAACTAACCCCCCTCATCTCATCTCACAGGCTCTCCCAAAACGCCCACCTCCTCCAACCCCCCGTGAACAACTACTGCGTCTACCACCCTTCCTCCCCCGCCACCGAGGGCTACACCGTAATGGTCGTCGGCGGCCCCAACGCGCGCACAGACTACCACATCAACAGCACGCCCGAATTCTTCTACCAGCACCGCGGCGCCATGCTCCTCAAAACCGTCGACACAACCACCGCCCCGCCGACCTTCCGCGACATCCCCATCCACGAAGGCTCCCTGTTCCTCCTGCCGGCAAACACGCCGCACTGCCCCGTGCGCTTCGCGGACACGGTGGGTATTGTCGTCGAGATGCCGAGGGCGGCCGGGGCGGAGGATGTCATGCGGTGGTACTGTGGCGGGTGCAAGGGGGTGGTTTGGGAAAAGAGGTTTGTGTGTACGGACCTGGGCACGCAGGTTAAGGAGGTTGTGGAGGAGTTTGCGGCGGATGAGGGGAAGAGGACATGTGGGGGCTGTGGGAAGGTGGCGGCTGTAAGGTATGCGGAGGGGGAGGTGGTGCAGCCGGGGAGGTTTCCGGAGTGAACGACGGGGGGATTGGGGTTACGGAGATAGGTAGGTTTGGGAAGAAAAGGGGGGGGGGGGGAGGTGGTTGTCAAGATTTATCAGATCAGCCGGCTGATTGATATTTTCGTTGGTTATGATGGGCCGTGAAATCGAAGTTGAAGTCCCAAGTCTATGAATTTCTATTGCTATACCCCGTTCCGCAACTTTTTGAACTTTACTAAACTTATCTGTAAGTTGTGTTTATTTCCATTATTATGTTGGAAAGGCAACACACTTTTGGACTTTATAATCTTGGAATGTTCCGTCCGACCTAAGAATCACTCGTTAGGAGGAATACATCATGGGAGAAAGGCGGCAGCAACGAGTAAATAGTAGTTAAAGAAGAACCTTAGATGGAATGAATTGGATAGCTTTCGCACTGATGCTGTAAAGTTGGGATATACCATTGGAGCTAGGTCGGGATGCCCGAGAACGTAACTTGGGAGAAGACGGCTGATGCTTAGTCCAACACTAAGATATATTCCGAAGGTTTGGTATGTGATAGGACATGAAAGAGCCGAAGGGTTGTTGGGGAAAGCTAGCGATGGGCTGGTATTATATATACAAATATATAGAAAATAGGGCAAGGAATTACAACAGATTGTATAGAACAAAAAAGGAAAGATAATAGAAAAATAATGAGAAGGGAGAGGAAAAAATGAAATAGAAAGATAGAAGAACAGAGAATAGTGGTTTGGGGTTGTAGATGTAGAATTCATTGAGGGTTGATGGTGAGAAGGAGGGGCGGGCCATAAAAAAAAGGTACAGGAATAAGAAGTGCAATAATTAGTCACTGTCAGTTGAAATACATCAATCAGCATTAAATGGCCACAAGCATAAAAAAAATATAAAAAAAAAAAAAAAAAAAAAAAAAAAAAAAAAAAAAGCGGCAGAAGATGAAAGCACCGAAAGGCCTCCGAGTCAGGGAGATAAGAAGGGAGGGTTCGATTCCACAACGATACAAAAAAACAAAAAGGGAAATTACTCTGCAATAAATTCCGCACTGGACCATGGATGACATTTCGCGAAAATGGGAGAAGACACGAGACGACAGGAAAAAGGGAGGATGGGGATATATAAAACCCGTAGTATCCCATCACACTCCTCAGCACGGCGAGCTCATGACCTGAATACTCCAAGCCGCTCACTTAATTCATTTAGGCATCGATTCCCGTTTAGGGATCTCAGAATGGAAGCCAAAAAAATCTAATCCTCAAACGGACAATCGATACTCTCATGCCCATCCCGTTCGCAGAGCGCACACCACTTCGACTCATCAATGACGCCGGACGCCTTCCCCGCAACCGGCGACATAGACGCCGTCAGCCCGCTAATACCCTTCAGTCCCTCCAGCACTACATCGCGCCCCGTCCGCTGAGAGCTGGGGCTTCCGCCAGCGTTGAGGTTATTATTATTGGTATTGTTGTATCCATTTGTCGTTGTCATTGTTCTTAAGTTATTTTGTTGGTAGGGTTGATGATGGCTATTGCCGCTGAAACTGTTGTAGGTATTATTGTTGTCGTAATTGCTGTTGCTATTGCTATTATTATTGGTGGTGTTGTTGCCGGTATTTGCAACTGACTTACCCGCCGCGTTCGCATTCGCGGCAGCGGAACCAAACATATTCGTGCAGGTCAGGATATCATGGCCGCTCGTTTCGCAGATCTCACACCAGAGCGCGCCGCCCTCATCTGTGCTTGAGGAGCGCGAGTCGGATTCCTGCATGCTCTCGAGGTGCTGCTGGTGGCGGACGGGTTCGTTGCGGTGCGGTGGGGAGAAGTGGGGGTATTGGCTATGGCCATTGCTGTTTCTGGCGGGTGGGGAGGTGGTGTCGTGCCAGTCATTAGGGACGACGGTGCGATCGGAGAGGGTGTGGGTGTGGTTGGGCCCACCCATGCCGCTGCCCGTGCCAGCGCTGTTATGTCGCTGTTGTTTGAGTGGTGAGGTGGTTATGGTACCGCTGCGGTTGCGGCTGGGACGGTTCTGGTCGAGCTCGCGCTCCAGTTCTTCGATGCGGTAAGATTTGCGCTCCGTAAGGCTTTCAAGCTCCTCGATGCGACGCTCCAGTCTAGCGACGCGGTCAGCGTCCTGGTGGTCTCCGTTATTGGCAGATCCACCATTCATCTGCGCGAGGCCGGGAGGTTCGCCCCTGCTGAGGGAATGGATGATGGCTTTTAGGCCGCGTATTTCATCATCCTTTTGGTCTAGGTCCTTGGAACTGGCATACCCATCGCCCCCGGCTCCTTTATATGAGGAAGATGGTTTCTCCCTCTCCTGCTTCAACTCTAGCCTAGTTCTCTCAACCTCACCCCTGAGGAACTCCACTTCTCCTCTTGCCTCCGCCTCACCCCTGCGAGCGTCTTCAAGACCTTCCTCAAGTTCTGAAACCAGTTCCTCCAACTGTTTAAGCTGCCTTGCAACGGTTTCAACATCCTCACTACGATCTTGTAGTTCCCTATTAGCCTGCATCAACTCTTCTAGTCTTCTCTCGTAGACCCTCTCAGTCTCCGATGCGGCCACTTCCAGAGTATCCAGGGTGCTACGAAAGTCTGCGCGGTGGCTATCGAATTCCGCCGTGAGAGCCGCAATCTTCTCGTTTTTCTCGCGGAGTTGTGCCCGCACTTGTAGCGCATCCAGACCCTCTAGCTCTGTAATACTCTTTTGAAATTCCGCGAGAGTCAACGCCTGTTCTTCCAGCTGCTTATCACGATCTCGCAATTGTTTCTCTAGAAATTTGATCCTATCCACGGACTCACTATCGTCAAACGCGGGTGTTCTTATGTCATGCCGCCTTACTGAGCCGGGGGTGTTAATGCCGCTTTCTACGCTAATTCTGGATGACGGGCGGCTGGGTGGACGGGTAGTCTTGAGCGGCGTTCGAGGAACGCCTCCATGGGCAGAAGTGCTCCTGGAAAACGCGGACGGTGTTCGTAGAGCGGTCAGGTTCAATTTCGGTGGAGGGGCCCGCGGGGATTCAGGTCGTGGGAGGGATGGGCGTCTGAACTTGGGTCTGTTTACAGACAGCGGGCCAGGGCCTGCGCCTGGGCCGACAGATTTGCTAAAGGGGGGCTTGGAGGGCGTGGGCGGTGTGCTGCCCATGGATGCAGTTCGTTTGGAGACATATCTGTTATTATTCATGGGCACGAAGATGCCGGAGCCTGGCTGGGAGGTGGTGAAGTAGCTCCGGCCTTCGACGTCGCCGTTATTCTTCCCTCTCCCGGCGTGTTCTGGGGCCAGCTCAACACCAGCAAAGCGGCCAGGTTTGCCGGCGACGGGGCCTAGGAATTTGACAGTGCCGTACATGCCCCCTGGCACGTTCACCAGGTCTCCGACCTGGATGTCGTCAAGGGGCGCCATAATCGTGTCGTGATATTTGTTTGTGTAAATAAAAGCTCCGGTGGAGCAAATAACTAGTTAAAGAGGGCAGGGATGGGGTGGTTTAAGAGAGCCGTAGCAGCATGTCAGGCGTAGGGTTGAAAGAGAGAGAGAGAGAGAGAAAGTAACAATCAAGAAAGATAAGAGAATGAAAGAAGAGGGTCGGAATGATACGTAGACGGCGGTGTTGAAGGAGAGAGAGAGAGAGTCATTCGAGGGGAGAGAAGAAGATGAAGATGAAGATGAAGATGAAGATGAAGATGAAGATGAAGATGATGATGATGATGATGATAATGAAGATGATGAAGAAATGAGGGAGGAAGCCGTGTTGATTGGGTGATGGTTTGAAGACGTAGTTAACGATATAAGTAAATAAATAAATATTTAATAGTTTCTTTTCCTAT